GTTTAGATCTTAGGTACCGAAGAAGAAAAAGAAAAAGTCAAGTTCTACATTTCCAACTTCACATTTATCCAAAACCAATTTTGTGGAGTCTCTTGGGGATTCGTACAGTAAATATTTTTAAACTATAGGTCCAGTGCACAAATTCGAGCATAGGTGGGGTCCAGCCGGCCCACCCCAATGGGGGCCATCAGGCCAGGACAGCAGGGGTGAGGGGACGCGGGAGGTTGTCAGGGGGGCAATTGGGGCCCTGATCAGGATGGTTGGCTGCCATAGTGTCCGTCATAGCAACAGGTCATTCCATTTGTTCCGTTGTTCTGGCCGCTTGGCTTTTATATATATAGACTAGAGGCCCAGTGCACGAAATTTGTGCACTGGGGGGTGGGTTCCCTCAGCCCAGCCTGCCCCTCTCACAGTCCAGGAGCCCTCAGTGGATGTCCTACTGACGGCCACAGTCTGGCAGCAGAGGCTCAGAGCAGGTGTCCCGTGTGTGTGTGTGTGTGTGTGTGTGTGTGTGTGTCTGTCTGCTGGGGCCTGCCCCCAGCCACACCACGTAGGCTCAGAGCAGTTGCCGTGTGTGTGTGTGTGTGTGTGTGTGTGTCCCCCGCTGGGCGCCTGCCCCCAGCTGCATAGGAGGCTCAGAGGAGGCGCTCCGTGTGTGTGTGTGTCTGCTGGGGGCCTGCCCCCAGCCACACCGTGGAGGCTTGGAGCAGGCGCCCCTCTGTGTTGATCTCTCAGGCTCCTGGCCTCCACTGCATGTTATACTCTCCCTTGAGCTGTGGCCAGGGTGGGGTGCTGCTTGCAGGCCGCACTTTCCTGCTCATGGATTGCCGCGGAGACTCGGGGGTAGGCCAACCTGGGGGCTGCCTGCAGCCGCACTTTCCTGCTCTGGGATCGCCATGGCAACCCAGGAGCAGGCCCACCTCGGGGCTGCCTGCACTGCACACTTTCCTGCTCTGGGATGCCATGGCGATCCAGGAGCAGGCCCACCTGGGGGCTGCCTGCCCTCCGCACTTTCCTGCTCTGGGATCCCCACGGTGACCCAGGAGCAGGCCTTGCTGGGTGCTGCCTACAGGCCGCACTTTCCTGCTCACCGATGGCTGGATTGCCATGTCGACCCAGGGGTGGCACTTTCCTGCTCTTGGATCGCCATGGGGTCCTGGCTGGGGGTGGGGCTTAGGCGGCACACGGGGGTCCCAGCTGGGGGCGGGGCTGCACACGGGGCCCAGATGGCGGCTCGCGCTATCCCACCCTGCCTGCAAGTATGCAAATTAGCCATCTTTGTTGGCGGCTAATTTACATATCATGCTGATTAGCCCATGGGAGGCGTAGCGAAGGTACGGTCAATTACCACCTTTGTCTATTATTAGATAGGAGGATTAGATTCCATCAATTACGGTTTTAAAGGCTTTGGGTACACTTTCCTGCATGTTCATGATTATAATCTAAGTTTTAAGATAAATATATAAACTTTTAAAATGCTTATTATGAGGTTATATTAAAATGTACATTTCTACTAAATTTAATATCTGTTACTTGCTGGGTAATGCTCAGAAAAACATGAATGAGCACATTAATAGAATTCCTTTATATTTATACTAGAGGCCAGGTGCACAAAATTCATGCACAGGGAGGGGGCGGGGATCCCCTCAGCCCAGCCTGCACCCTCTCCAAACCAGGACCCCTTGGGAGATTTCTGACTGCCAGTTTAGGCTCAATCCCAGGGATTGGGCCTAAACTGGCAGTTGGACATCCCTCTTACAATCTGGGACTGCTGGCTCCTAAATGCTCACCTGCCTGCCTGCCTGTTTGCCCCTAACTGCCCCCCCTGCCGGCCTAATCACCCCTAACTGCC